TGAGTACACATCACTTTACTGGACATCCAGCACGTTCAAATGTAGGCAAACAACTAGAGGAAAATGAATGGGAGACTCACCTTCTTCAAGTGCGTCATCTCCATCGGACACCAGCTCATCATCCGAGCAGATGTTGAGCACGTTGACGAGCATTTCTGTTACCTTCTCGCCGACAAACGGCAACGACCACGTGAAAACGTCCATGAAGTTGGGTAGCCAGTATGGATGCTGCGAAAAGTTGAACTGTCGAATATTCATCACGTTGTTCTCGTACTTGAGAACAGCTGCCTGCAACAAAAAAGCCAAATCGATAACGCTTTTCCAAACAGTTCGACAATTCCCTCACCTTGTTGTTGTAAACATCCAGATAGTTGGGCGCTGAGAATATCGTAATTAGCGATGGAAACCCGGTGGTTTGACTCTTTCGATACATCCTGTACCTAGAAGCAAGTGAAAATGCCCGTTAGGGCATCAACAACATCGTTACTTTAAAGCTAATTTATTGCACAGTGGATTCAAGTAAGTCAAGGAAACTATGTAGGTCAGAACCCTAAAACTGCAATTTAAGATACTTGTTGTTTTAAGCTGCGACTGCTAAATGGGCCCAACCGTTTTCCAGCTTTCTTAACTAGATGATGATTTAGCATTTCCTCGTTTTTCCCTCGCCAGCATCCCGAATTTACGAGCGCCGCTTCTAGAGCGCTAAGCAGCTTATTAGCGTCTGCCGCATCGATTTTCGCTAACGATTTCTTCCCCAGCTATAAATCCTAATTTGCAAACAATTTTCTCGCACGCATCGATCATAATGCAGGTTTTTCCAATAGGATACAGTAAAATAAGCGGTTTTGCAACGAAAAAACGCTTTCGGCCGACTGACGATCCCTCGACCCAGCGGAAGGTTCAACATAAATTCCGTGAAACGAGAAAGCCTTAAATCTTGGAAAAGTAAAGAAAACAGAGCGGGGCATTTGTCATTTCCGACTAACTTTTAGAAAAATACGCGACTTTTTCGAGTTTCCACGTTGGAGATTGGCTTTGTGCGCCACGACGAGTCTTGCTATGTAGGGTAGAACGTCATAAATATCTACTCGGCTCTTCATTCCCAATAAAATACAATTCATGAACTTGAGCACAATGAAAATGGAAAAGAAGTTGCTGCTAACTCTGATGCAAATTATATTAGTTAGAAAATTGCGGTCGCAGGAAGACGATTGTTATGAGAAATGTGGGGAAAAAATGTTTCAAACAACCAAAAATTCCACTTCTTAGATCGCAAATAGACAAATTCGCAACGGCCACACTTCCCTTTTGAATTTCGCAAACAATATTCGTGAATGTGAAACTGTAATCATATTATAGTGGTTCAAACAATGCCAGTCAAGTTTCAACGGCAAACAAAAACCCCCCTAAAAATAAATATTTGGGGCCGATGGAGGAGGAGCGCGTTCAAATGGCATGGGAAAAATGGTTTTTCTGGCGAAATTTAATCAGTCTAATGACCGGAGAATTCGGAATATTAAACAGAACCGAACTGTCTCGGGAATATGGTTCGCAGGCGAACTTTGATTATTAAACAACGTCAGCTATTGCAATTCAAAAGTGTCGCCAACTTTGCCAGACGAAACTAATGTTGATTTATTTTTGTATTGCGCCACTTTAAATTGTGCATTCAACCTTTATTCACAAACTGTTTGTTCGGTATTTTCGCCTCAAAAATGTTTGTCTTTAAAAAAGACATAATTTCCTCACGTCTTTTATTACAGATTGATAAACAGTGCAAGAGCACTATTTATCAATTTTATTCACAAACTGTTTGTTGGGTATTTTCGCCTCAAAAATGTTTGTCTTTAAAAAAGACAGAATTTCCTCACGTCTTTTATTACAGATTGATAAATAGTCCTCCTATTTCGCCATATATTGCCCGAACCGAACGTTCTTCCTCGGAAAGTGTCCGAAATCGTTGTTTTGTTGAACTGCCGTTTAAGACGGGAAGTTTGTCTAAGTTTTTAAAATTTAGCGACAAAAGCGCCGATTCTGCGTAAAATCGCGCAAAAACATCGTGGCAAACACACGAAAATCCATCCTTTGTCCAAGTTCTGCCGCGTTTTAATGTCATTTAGCGACAAATTTATTTCTGATAAAG